CTGGTTGGACATTTAAGGAAATATGCTTTTTCACTTTCTTGCAGAGTTGATTGAGAAGATCGATACCGCTTCCATTCATGAAGATACAGTCACGAGATGGTTAGCTTAGCTTAGCATGAGGCCTGGAAACATGAGGAAACAGCTAGCCTGGCTCTATATAAAGCTAATTTATTAAAATGTTATATCTCATTTGTTTAATCTGTACAAAAAACTGATTATGTACTGCAATGTTTTTTGGCTGAGCGCAGTGACTTCTTGGAGTTGTCACCATGAGGTATTGACAAAAAACTGTCAATATATTGTTTTTTTACTCAATAGTTTTTTGTTCAGATTGCACAACCAAAATAATGTCTTAAGTAGTGAGACGAGGTGCTGGTGAGCAGAATTTCCCCACGTTACCTGTTTCCTGGCTCCTGCTTCATATTTAACAGACAGATACAAGAGTGATATCTTCTCATCTAACTCTCAGCAAGAAAGCAAATAAAAATCTTGAAATATTCTTTTAACCTCTTAATGTAAAATTTTGTTCTCCCCTTTAATTTCCCTCTGTGGGGAAATCATATTGTTCCAGCTCTACATTGAAGCTATATGATGTTAGCACTGAGTGAAATATACAGACCCAAGATGCCATATTACAGCTGCACTGTAAATGGTAATATTAAAAATTCCAAAACTATTTGAAATCTTTGGAAACTTTGCTATCTCCACTAGAACTTAAAATAAAGTATTTTGGTGTTTGGACAATTCTTGGTAATGAATAACCTACTGGTGAGAAGAGTTAACTGTAAACTAGAACACATATTTGCAAACTAGTGCCATTTTTGGAACATATAACACTTTTAGGTAATGCACAGTCCTTTTAGATCAGCAGAAGGTAATGTGATCTGTGCAACTCCAATACAGCTGATGAAATCCTATGGTGAACTATAGATTAGAGGCGTTTTTCTGAACTTTGACTCTGTTGATAAACACCTGAGGGAGGCCTATCTGTAACATTCCCCCTGAAACTGGATAGACCCAGAGCTGGCAGAACTATACACCTCCACTTTACTGAAGGTCAATATCCCCGTATCTGTCTGAGTGTGTGTGTCTGTGTATTTGTACATGTTTTAATGTGTGTCTGTGTGCAGTGCATGGAAAAAATAAGCACAGTAATGAAGACTGTGGCCAGGGATGAAGGTGTTACTGGTTAACTCGGATAAATGCAATGATCTACATGCAGAAGTTTTTTTTAAATACAGAGCAAAACTGGGTTCTGTGATTTCAACAATTATTTTCATTATTCAATTATGTGTTTATTTTTTCTTACTTAATCATTTATTTGCCCTCTAAGAAACAATGGAAAATCAAATGTCTTGTTTTACCTGTCCATCAAAGCCCAAAAACATTTACTTGGACATGTAAAAAAAGCTGATTTTCACAATGGAGAAGCTATTTCAACCTAATTTGGGGGCATTTTTGCTTGAAAAATCTCTTTAACAATTAACTAATTATTAAAATAGTGGCTCATTCAATCAACTAATAATTTAATGAACTAAAAGTTGCAGCTCTCTATCTATTAAAGTACGTTATGTACAGTATATGCCATGGCTTTGCACGGCCCACAATTGAGAGTAATACAAGACACAAACTTTTCTGAAAACAGCCATGAAAAACACAAAGAGAAGCTTCAATCAATCACTGCACATTGCCAGTCTTAAATAGTCTTGTGTCCCAAGACTAATGGGGAATGTTAGCAATTGGACAGAGGTGCACTATTCAGGCTTATCTCACCAGGCCTTTGCAGAAGGTTCCAGCTGTGAGCATGCTGCAACTTTGTAAAGTCAGTAATTGCATCATTTCAGGGTCATTGCAGGGTCTCAGAAAAAAAACACTTGAAGGATTTGATTTGATGTAACCAGGATGATTAAGTCATAAACATTTTACCAATTAAGCTACTTTGTACACTCAAAGTAGAATTGTGTGTTACATACTAAAAATGCCCACTATCTGCCAAACAGAAGTTTACAATAAAGCACCAGTAGTTTGGGATAAGTTTAATGTTTGAAATATTAATATAATCATTAAACAACTCTTTCACTTCATGTCCCTGCCTTACCTGCACTGACTTTTACAATCCATGCCATCCTCATTGATCTGGGAGCCAGACTATGTTGCACAATTTCCAAACAAACATGTGGCAATTATGAATTTGGCACCAACATTAAATCCTCCCTTATTCACCCAGCAGTATAAAACGGGTGAGGAGCAACAGTCGGCACTCTTCCGACCGAAAGAGGGGTTCGCTGTTACCAAGTGCTTAGTGCTGCAACTGAAACTGGGGAAAAAGAGATGGCACCTGGCAAGAAGGTAAAATAACCTCTCTGTGGACAATCATGCTTGTATGTTACAGCATGTAAGGCTTTGATATCATAGTTTTCCTGTCAGTCGATAGGCTGCGGTGTTATGAGGAAATGTTGTCAGTACAGGTTTTATGTTTGTGTGTGTGTGTGTGTGTGTGTGTGTGTGTGTGTCTGCATGTGGTATGCGAAACAGCCAGACTAAAGCGGTCACCACTGGAGAATCTCAGACTGAAAACTGCGTTTATCTTTTTACCTTTGTACCTGAACTGCAGCTTCCCTCACATAGACACATACAGAATCATCAGATTTTGAATGCACACATACACATTTGTCTCTACATCAACTGCAAACTGTGACGTATACTGCACACGTATGACATCTATGCTCTTATCTTTAAGTCACATACATTTTGTTCATTGCTGTCCTTCTTTCCTGCTGCATTTCTATTCTAGATATTAAGTAAAATACAAAACATCAAAAAGCTTATAAGCCATTTAGTGTAGATGGTGACGTGTGTGCATGGATGCCTCTGCTCCCACAGGGTATCCTTGAGCGTCTGAATGCTGGGGAGGTGGTGATTGGTGATGGAGGCTTTGTGTTTGCCCTGGAGAAGAGGGGCTATGTGAAGGCCGGACCATGGACTCCTGAGGCTACTGTCACACACCCTGAGGCTGGTAAGACAGACAGTACACACACCCATATTGTATGAAGCCCAGGGGGAAGGTGCACAAGCCTAAAAGCACAACGTTTTACCTGTAATATGACAAATCTGTATGTTTCCATTAGTGCGGCAGCTGCATAGGGAGTTCCTGAGGGCAGGAGCTAATGTCATGCAGACATTCACATTCTACGCCAGTGATGACAAGCTGGAGAACAGGGGTCAATCATTGAGAATCACTGTGAGTACCCAACTATAGCTCTTTAGGATTATGCAGCTCTTGCTAATTCCATTTTACTGGTTGTGGACAATAATCAAAATGTGTATTGCACAGAGCATCATCATCAACAACCTCATGTTGCCTTCCTCATTTTTTCAGGGGACACAAATCAACGAGGCAGGCTGTGACCTGGCCAGAGAAGTAGCCAGTGAAGGAGACGCTTTGGTAGCTGGCGGAGTGTCTCAGACACCTTCCTACCTGAGCTGCAAGAGCGAAACAGATGTGAAGGCCGTCTTTAAGAAACAGCTGGAAGTGTTCGTGAAGAAGGGCGTGGATTTCATGATTGCTGAGGTAGATTCATGTCATATTTTCATTTTCTTGCACAAGTCATGTTAAAACTACTTCAGTGTGAAATATGATTAGTGGAGCGCTAAGTGGTGACTGTTGTTTCTGTCATTGCAGTACTTTGAGCACGTTGAGGAGGCGGAATGGGCCGTGCAGGTGCTAAAGACCAGCGGAAAGCCTGTGGCTGCTTCTCTGTGCATCGGACCAGAGGGAGACATGCATGGCAGCTCACCTGGAGAGTGTGCTGTCAGGCTGGTGAAGGCTGGTACGTATTTAATCTACCCTGCGTGATCTGGAGCATTATCCTTTTGTTTCTTTACTTGAAAGTCATCTGTGTTAACTGATATAACAATAACCAGTTCCCTCTGTACTCCAGGTGCCCAGATTGTAGGAGTCAACTGCCACTTTGACCCCATGACCTGTGTGAAGACTGTTAAGATGATGAAGGAGGGAGTGGAGAAGGCCGGACTGAAGGCTCACTACATGGTGCAGCCTCTGGCATTCCACACCCCAGACTGCAACTGTCAGGGATTCATTGACTTGCCAGAATTCCCCTTCGGTAATATATTTTGCTTGGACATTGAAAATAAAAAAATATGTGCAGCTGGCAGCTGTTCACAATTGTCTCCTTCTCTCAGCCCTGGAGCCCAGGATCCTGACCCGCTGGGACATGCACCAGTACGCTAGAGAGGCCTACAAGGCTGGCATCCGATTCATTGGTGGCTGTTGTGGTTTTGAGCCTTATCACATCAGAGCTGTGGCAGAGGAGCTGGCCCCTGAGAGAGGGATAACGCCCCCTGGCTCAGAGAAACATGGCATGTGGGGTGCTGGTCTGGAGATGCACACCAAACCCTGGGTCAGAGCCAGGTAAACCATCCAAACTATTCAATACACTGAAATACACACACTTTTAGGAATATTATGTCATGCAGTAACCTGTGTGTAACCTGTGCCTTCATCTCCTCCAGGGCCCGTCGTGACTACTGGGAGCATCTCTTGCCTGCATCCGGTCGTCCCAAGTGCCCGTCCCAGTCCACACCAGAGGGCTGGGGTGTGACCAAGGGCCATGCCGACTTGCTGCAACACAAAGAGGCCACCAGCATCCAGGAAATGAAGCATGTGGTGGAGATGCAGAAGAAGGCCAAGTCCTCTGCATGAGCAAGGCAGAGCGGGAAAAACAAAGCACCCGTCCCTTCAGTCGGTCAACAAGAGAGGGACGAGTGGGAAAGAGTGGTATCTTTCCCAGTTCCGTTTGGAGATAAAAAGCACTTGTAACAGCGATGCTCCAGTTTTGGAGTATTACTTTGTAAACCCCAAATCAATAAACCTGAGTTTGTTACTTAATTTTACGGCTATGTGTTGTCAGTGTGGAATGAGTGACGGCTGCAACAAACACAAACCATTCAAACATTGTCAGTAATTATAAGAAATCTCACATATACACTGATGTACTTAATATTTGCTTGTCTGTTAAAACTGGCTGCCAACTATCAAGTTGGACTCATGGATTTGTCTATTCAGGGTCCAAAAAAGACTGAAACCCACAAACTAACAGGAAGACAGACAAACAACCATAATTAATCCGGACAAAACTAGTAGCACAAACTCACAATTCTCCCATTCAGTAAAAGAGGGGAGGGGAAGGAGTAAACATTGCAGTTGTGTAACTTGCCTCTTGCCAATCAGAGCAGCTCTTACTCAGACCCCTCCCCTGCTTCAGTGAGATTTATAGTGGCCTTCTCCTCCACTCTAATGTTGCTTCAACTTCTCAAAGTCTGAGCAGTCAGGGGGTCCACACAGCTGCAGGATTATGGCACCAGGAAAGAAGGTATGTGTGGAAAGGACTGTCCTGTAGATTATGCATGCAGGGAAGGAACAACTAGTAGTTTTGTGTCAATCATTATAATATGTGTGATGTCTAATTGTTAAGACCCTTGAGCTCCAAACTGAATCAGCAAATTACCCAAATTAGAAAAAAACAACAACATATTTTCTCAGTAGCATCTGTACATGCAGATAGGTTTGGCTTTATTTGTCCAGGTTTCGAGATATTTGTGTTTGAGGTTTCTTCCTCTATCCCAATGCACTGGAGGTGAATGAATTATGAATATTTATGAATTATTCTCAAAAGTTAAGAATACATTTTTTATATATATAATGTAGGACGTAAAAAAAGCCTTTTTTCAACCTTTTACCTCAAGATTTACTTTAATAAGAAAAATATTTCACTCTCCGCTAAATAACAGAGGAATTGCTGGGACTAAGACTAGGACTTTTTATTAACTGGAGGAACAGACTTGCCTCTTGAATCTGACTTTCAGTGTGGTATATGTGGTATAACCCTAGGAGGATCTGGTGAGGGTTTATGACTTAAATGCATGCCAGGTGGAGCTTTTTTTCGATTCAAATATATAGTGAATTAATGAATAAATAATCTCCTTTTCTCAGATATGTGCTGCTTCTTCTTGCAGACTCAGGGTCACTGAGAGAAGCGGGATTTGGCAGTGGAACTACTGTGCATGAGGCATAATGCATAGATATAGATTTCTATAGCTTATAGTGGCCTCTTCTTAAAATATAATACTTGCAATGCAGACTTGCCATCAGGCCTAGAATAAAAAACACCACATGTTTCCAGCTGAGGGATGGTTAACTTGGCCAGAGGTGGGCCATAATGCTGTACGTAGCCTATATTAGAAAGTAGTATGCTGGTGTTCTTTGAATGAAGATCTGCACATCCTTTGGCCTGACTGGCTCATCTCCAGCCTGAGTAATCTAGGCATATTCAATCTAAGCATTCACTGATCCATTATTACAGGGAGTCTTGGAGCGTCTTGACGCTGGGGAGATCGTGATTGGTGATGGAGGCTTCGTGTTTGCCCTCGAGAAGAGAGGCTACGTGAAGGCTGGTCCCTGGACCCCTGAAGCCGCCGCAGAGTACCCTGAAGCAGGTGACTCAAAATGGCTTATTTATTATCCCAATAGGTTCTCTGTAAATTACCTTTATGTGTCACAGTTTAGATGGATTGGCGTGTATGTTTGTCTTACTGTGTGATCTATTTGTTTTTCAGTGCGACAGCTGCACAGGGAGTTCCTGAGGGCCGGGGCCAACGTTATGCAGACCTTCACCTTCTACGCCAGTGATGACAAACTGGAAAACAGAGGCAACAAGCTCAGCTTCACTGTAAGTTAAATCACAAATCACACCCCACTTTTATAGGAAAAAGCAGAATGTCGTTGTTGCTCATCTGCACATTAAAAACAGCTAAAATGTTAATCAGAAAGTAAATAAGGTACAAAGAATGCTCATTAGCTTTAAACTGGTTAAATTTTCTACTTTTTATATAAATACTAGTGATATTATCTCATCTCTATCCTGTTCTGTATTCAGTTCTCACCTTAGTTTTGGCTTTGTTTTGCAGGGGGCTCAGATCAACGAGGCCGCCTGCAATTTGGCCCAGGAGGTAGCCAGTGAGGGCGATGCCCTGGTTGCTGGGGGAGTGTGTCAGACTCCTTCCTACCTGAGCTGCAAGAGTGAGACAGAGGTGAAGGCCATCTTCAAGAAACAGCTGGATGTGTTCATTAAGAAAAATGTGGACTTCCTGATTGCTGAGGTAGAGATTTAAAACACACACACACACGCACATAACTTTAACACAATTGAATTTATTCCTAATTTTTTATAATTTTCTGGTGGATGTTTGACTGAATGTTTCTGTCCTACAGTACTTTGAGCACGTTGAGGAGGCAGTGTGGGCTGTGGAGGTGCTGAAGGAGACGGGGAAGCCTGTGGCTGCTTGTATGTGTATCGGACCAGAGGGAGACATGCACGGTGTCTCACCTGGAGAGTGTGCTGTCAGGCTGGTGAAAGCCGGTGGGTACCGTAGTCACATATATACCAATGAGCATATTGGTCAAGCGAAAAGGGATAACCCACATTTTTATAAATCATAATTGGAATTTTTTGTCCTCACATGACCTCTCTGTAGTGTTGTAAGATGACAAGGGCAAGATTTCTAACTGGTAGGCATAAGATGTGACTGTTCTTAGTCTACTGGAATTATTAATTAATAACTAGGAGCCGCCTACATGCCAAAACTGTGTCCTGTATTTTTGTTGAGTAACCAGTGCCAAAATGTTGACCATAAAAAAAGAAATCAGCCAAATTTGAAATGTCTTATGAATTCAAACCCAAACTTTGAAACCACAGCTGCAAACCACAGTTGGTGTTGTCTCCTCTACAAGTGTTATTTCTTTGCTTATCTGTAACAGTCAGCTCATACCAGCGCATGTTTTTTTTTCTGTAGGTGCCCAGATCATTGGAGTCAACTGTCACTTTGACCCAATGACCTGCGTGAAAGCTGTCAAGATGATGAAGGAGGGAGTGGAGAAGGCTGGGCTGAAGGCTCACTACATGGTGCAGCCCCTGGCATACCACACCCCCGACTGCAGCTGTCAGGGATTCATCGATCTGCCAGAATTCCCCTTCGGTAATGATATACTGTGTTGCGTTTAAATTTTTACCATTCAGTATGTATGTAATCATGTATAACATTTCACCTTTATATATAAGTATTATACTATTTCACCAAAAGCAATCAAATGTACATAAAACTGAATCTTCTGTCAGGTCTGGAGCCCAGGATCCTGAGCCGCTGGGACATGCACCAGTACGCCAGAGAGGCCTACAATTGTGGCATTCGCTACATTGGCGGCTGCTGTGGCTTTGAGCCTTATCACATCAGGGCTGTGGCAGAGGAGCTAGCCCCTGAGAGAGGCTACCTCCCAGCCGCATCAGAGAAACACGGCAACTGGGGTGCTGGTCTGGAGATGCACACCAAGCCCTGGGTCAGAGCCAGGTCAGAAGCAACTTTTAATCTGTCACTTAACACCATAAATATGCACCTAAACTAAGTGAAGTGTAAAATATTGGTTCTTCGGCACCAGTGAGTACTAACTACTATGTGTGTTCCTCTATTTTTAATTCTTTTAGAGCCCGCCGTGACTACTGGGAGAACTTGAAGCCAGCCTCTGGTCGTCCCCTGTGTCCCTCCATGTCTTCCCCCGATGGCTGGGGTGTAACCAAGGGCCACTCTGAGCTCATGCAGCAGAAAGAGGCCACCTCTCAGGACCAACTCAAGCAGCTGTTCGACAGGTCAAAGAGCCACTGAGTCCGGTCCGTCTCCCTCAGCACTGGCAACAGAGCTGAGTCAAACAGCCGTGCCGTGCAGCTATAAGCGCTGCACAGTGGTGTGCACTATCT